AGGACTGTGTGTAAATCTTGACATTTTTTTCTTTTGAAACATTTTTCAACTTTCTTACATCGTAGGGAAAAACAAAATTTTTAAAATATTGATTCAAAGATTTAAATCTTGAACCTATATTGCTCACTATGGAATGAGTCGTGGTGTTAAAAAAATCTATGTCGTGCCTGCTTTTAGGAGACTGTATAGTAGTGTCCCTTATACGGGTGAAAATATTTTCTTTTAGATTTCAAAATGGATACCTTAATTCTTTTTAAACTACCTAAACTTAATGAAATAAAGATTTTTTTCTTTGTGTGTCAAGATTAAGCTGTGCCATAGGACCCTTGAAGATTTTAAAAATCGTTGTCTTTAACGCTTATCCTTGTATACGTGTAATAAAATGAAATGAAAAAAGAATAATCAAAATCAAAGTAAAACAATAGGTATTATTAATCAAAAGAACATCACAAATCATCAAGGATATTTTCTTTTAAGGGTTTTTTTTACAGTCTGCATACAGATTTCTATGCTCTTATATACAGCGCAGCAAAAATTGTTTTTGTTCTTCCTTTGCAGTGACTAAACTATAGAAATCTTGCATAAGTTTTACAGCTTTTTAAGCTGTATCATTCACGGTCCTTATAGAAGGAACCCTTTTTTTTCCTGCAAATAGGTGACATCTTTCCATGTAGAAACGGGTTTCTTCAAGAAATTTGTATCAATGTTTAAACGCGCAAATAAATTTGTACTCTTGACAGGCACAAAATAATCATTTTCCTGCAACAAAGACAAGATTATATTATTATCAGTTTATTACGAAGGATATAAAATATTGAACTATGTATTTTCATTTAAATTACATAATACGGTTTTATGGCTTTTATTACATTTTTCAACTCTAACTTTACCGTCTCTGCGCGGTAATACTGCTGGAATAAACCCCTATGGCCACACATTTCTCGGAGAGCTGGGGTAGACTTATGGTCGATGGTAATGTGCTATAGTTACGTCTTAATGTATGGATATCTGGAGGATTTGGGTAGAATTTAAGGCCTCACTCCGATGTTGTCTAATTTAAAGAAATTGTACGTAGTTTAAGATCTACACAACAAATAATAAACGTCGATATTAGTTATAATTAAATGATTGCAATGTACCAATCTAAAATGAACTTTCTAAAAATAAAAATGAGATTGTCTTGAGAGGGTCAATGAAAAATTGAAGTTACTTATTTATCAAATGTACTATATTTAAAGGTGTATCTAATTGGTAGTATATTCTTTTACTTTTACAGGCCTTTTTTAGATTCTAGAAGTATAGCAACTAAATTATCAAAAGGCTCATAAGATATATCAGTCTCAACTACTCAACTAATTTAAATTTTGTTGCTGTATCATCGTTTGACTTAAAAAACACAATTTTAACCTCATCATCATCTTCTACTTCCGATAGGACTATCCCAGATATCATACTCCTGTTTTAAGCTAAACATTTTAACTAAGACGCAAATACCTTCTCTATCAAAGCATCGTCATTTGCCTTTCAAGTACCGCGTTGTTATACGTAGTAGAAGATTCTTTTTATGATATTAGAGCGGCCTCATCATCGGAGTCCGATCTATAAACAATACTGTAGAATGCTTTTGCTCGCTTTTGAAGAAGATTGCTTATATCGGAAAGAAAATTGTTATCGCAATTGGAGAACGTGTTCGTGTACACGTTCGAGCTTGGTATACATGCAAGAGCAAAAGCCGCAATGACTGAAACAATATAAATTTGTATACATTAGAACACCAGCCCTCTCACAGAAAACTTGATGAACTTTCATAGTAGCTAATAGTGGTATAACATTATCTGGGATCAGTGTTGAACTTTTCATATCCCTATTTGTTTGCGCCACAACTAGTTTAAATGCACATCTCGTGTAATAGACAAGGACAGACATACTCACGATCTAGGGCCGAAAGGAGCCGAGTAGGGTAGGGCGGGGCTAAAAGGTCCATTTTGCGTATATTGTGTCATAACTACGTACGTTTAAGGTTCCTGGGAAAGACTTTAATAATAATAGAAAGTTTAATCCTTCATCTATAAGTTGCCATAGGTGAATACGGCCAGAATTTACCAATGCGCCCAATATGGGCGATACAAAATGTAATGTCAAATGGTCCTTTTTACCCCGCAGGTGGGGTAAAAAGGACCAGTCTTGGGGTAAAAAGAACCACGACAACTAAATCATATTTTGTGGTCAAATGTAGGAAATAAATAAAAATAAATAATCTTTATATTTATTATATTTTAATCGACAGATATGTTGCGACCTATTTTGCACTGGTAACTAAGTTATATAATTATAAGGCACAGTTATAATCAGTCTTAATAACAAATCTTTAGGTCTTTGGTCTTTTTGATCTTGATAAAGGTAACATCTTAAAACAATTGTAGTATCTCAAAATCGTACATATTCATAAAAGAAATCGGTAACATCTTTAGCAACTTAAACAATTTAAAAAAATAAGTATTTTCAACAAAAAACTAATAACTAATCTTCATCAGACTGACAATTCTTACATTCGTATGCAAGAGATGATGAGTGATGTTTGGCACACTTATCGTGGGCCCAACCTTTACAGGTATTACATTGAATCCAGCCTTCTCCTGCAACACTGTCAGCAAATGACTCGCAGCATTCCAGACAAAGACATTCTTCTTCTTCAGAACTCGAACTCGTATCTTTTTCTTGTATAATCTTTCTTTTCACTTGTTTATTTTTATTTGTATCTTTTTCTTGTAAAATCTTTTTTTTCACTTGTTTATTTTTCTTCGAGACAGCTTTTTTACGAGAGACCATTTTCTTCTTCTTTTTATTTTCTTGTTCCAAAGACAACGCTTCCTTTTCAGGTGTGTCTGTTAATATAGCTGCCTTTCGTCGTTTCCTGCTGGTAACATTACGCGGTCCTGCCTGAGGGAAAGGCCTGATGGATTCCGGAGAAAATATTGATGGCTGAGCAAACAAGGATGAAGCTGACGTAGATGGTTGAGGCTCAATGTTTGAAGATGGAACTGTACAGGACCTTAATGGCAGACAATCTTTTTCAACAGCAGCTGTAGAAGACAACATTAGGTCACTTGAGGACAGCAAAACTGAGACGGTAGGCAACTGAGGCCCTACTGTAGACAACTGAGAAGGAGATACAGGAGATATACTTGCTGAAACAACTGCTACAACTTCGGGCTGCGAAGAAATTAACAAACTTGGTGAACCTGGAGAAATAGGCAACTGGGGCTCTGTAGACATAGGCGGCTGTGACTCATTAGGTACAGAAGACGTTGTTGGATTGTTCGGATTTGGTCGGTCTGTCACAAAACTTGGAGCGAAGTCCGACTCATCAAACACTTCCCGGTTGAACGGGTAAACCCCAGCTTTTTGAAACCCTTTCGAGATGTTGTTGGGAGTCAGTGCCAAAGGTAAAGCTGTTCGGACGATGCCTGGGATATCGTAAATGCTCATTGTTTTTCCTGGGTGGCCACGCATCCATGAATCTTGTGCTGACGATAAATACCTTTTAAACGGCCCGAAAACAGACACGTCTAAGGGCTGCAGCTTATGGGAACAATGAGGAGGATACGACAGCATCACTACTCCATTATTTTTCGCTAGATCCAACACTTCCACTGACAAGTGCGAACTGTGATTGTCTAGTAAAAGCAAAACTGGCGACTCTTTAGTTGGCTTCACATAAGTGATGAAATGTTTCATAAAAAGCAAGAATTCCGTATCAGTCATCCAGCCGCTTGCATTTCCTGCACCAATACATTCTGCTGGCCCATCTCGCACGAAATGATCTTGGTATTTCTTTCTTGGAAATACGAACATTGGAGGTATCGAAGATCCAGTTGCCGAAACAGCTACCAACAATGTTACATTAGTTCCTCTTTCAGCAGATGTGACAGACCCGACGTTTCTTTTCCCTTTGGCTGCAATTATTTTTGAAGGTTTATTTACAGTCGAGACACCAGTCTCATCAGCATTCCATATAGACGAACCTCTGAATTTGTGACGATCCATCACGTGTGCCAATTTATCAAAATATTCACAAACGTTCGTTCGATTGAAAGAGGTGGCCCTGCTCAAACTAGTAGCCTCTGGCTTCCTGATAGAGAGACGGTCATTCCTTGACAAGAATCCCGTCAGCCAGTCCTTTCCAGCCATCTTATTTGTGTGCCATACCTCAGGAATCTTCAAATTATATTTTACAGCGCATTCATAAGCCAAGCGACGAACATCTTTAGGGCCTATACCGTGAAAGATTTGTGCAAGTGTCAGTAAATACTCGCAGAGAGAAGTTTCTTGTTCTTGGTTAAACACTAATCTGGGAGTGCCGTAGCCAAATTTTGGCGACTCCGGATTTTCCTTTAACCGCGCCATGAATCTCTTCAATGAAGTTCTGCTAATCTCATAGTCACGACAAACTTGCCTTATTGATTTATCTTCATTTGCGACTAAATCAGCCGCTCGCTTCATCAGCTCAACGGACTTCGTACCACGCTCAGTGGTTTTTTTATAATTCCGCATTCTGAAAATAAAATAGAAATTAATACATAGAATCAAAATAATTCGTGGGGCTTAAAGGTCCACCGCGGTCCTTTGTGCCCCAATGGTAGGTGGACTGTTGTTTTAGGTTATGTAGAAAAACAAGGTGATGCAAACAAAAAAACAATGGCACTACGTGAAACTTAATACCACTAAACATTTATACAGAGAAATTATGTTTCGTAAGTTTAAAAATCGAACAATGAGACTAAAACTAAGTAAAATCTAAAACATTACTTACGTGTAATTTTCGCACCACTTGCGCGTACACTCTTGCCGGCTCTAGAAAATGCACTGCGCGGGGCGGCATGCGCACCCGTCCCTCGTCCCCTTCACGCACCGGTCACTCCGTTGTCTAACGTGCACTTAGTTTCGGAGATAGGCATGGTGGACCTTTTTACCCGCGGACCTTTTAGCCCCGCCCTACCCTACGCCCGCGCCATCGATGGAAAGAAAGATGGCGCTTCTTGTTCGTTTTCCCGCTCGTGTCTGAGAAACGCCGCTTGCACATAATTACGTTTTATAATAATTGAATCACTACGATTTAATAAACTATTGAATTGTCAAGGTGTATATAGATAGTGTGCAATATTCAAGGTGTATATACACTAATTTCCGCCGCGCGTGTTGTGTGTGTGATCGGTTCATCGATCATCATCGTCGTCGATCATCGATTCCTTTTTTTTTTTTTTTTTTTTTTTTTTTTTTTTTTTATCGTGTGGAAAAATCTTCAAAAGACCGTCACCCCGCCGGAGGGATGGCGAGGTGGTGTGTGGGACTTGTACCCACTAAAAAACCACACGGTGTACCTACGAGCGCCTATGCCGGAGCCAGGGGATTCGCAAGTGCATTCTACCCCAGCTCCGACGGCGACGGCCCGCCCTGTAGATGTTGTAGGGCAGGCCCCATCTCGTTTTGTGGTTAGGGCGACCTATTTCGCCCTACTCCATTGTGGAGGCGTGTGGGTACACGCGCACACCTCCGGGGCCTTTGGATTGGGGGACTGCCTCCCTCAAGGCAGTCACCCCGGCCCCAGTGGGGGATAGAGGGGGGCGGAGTTGGGTACGCCCCCACCTCTAGGCCTAGCTCTTCTGCGGCGGAGGGAAGCGGGACGATCTGACTCCCGCTCCCTTTCCGCCGCCTCCTTCCGCGAGATAACTTCCTCGCAGAAGGAGCTCACTGCCAGCCACGATCTCTCGCTACTGATCATCCTCCGAACTAAATTCGGCAGCGAGAGATCGTCCCCCACTATTCGTGTGAGGACACGGCGCTCACTCTCGAACGCTGGACATTCGTCCAGCGTGTGTTGCGCCGTGTCCTCCACACCTCCGCACTCGTGGCAGCCGGTCGTCGGCTCCTTCCTCGCCACATGACACAGATACCGCCCGAAGCACCCGTGCCCGGACAGTATCTGTGTCATGCGGTACGTCAGTGGCCATCTCCTATTCATCCACCTTTTGAGGATGGGACGGACAGCCTCGACGGTCCTCAGGCCGGCCGATGGACTGGCCAGCCTTTCTCTCCACCTGATCCTGAGGATCCGCCGAAAGTCGGACCTCCGCGCTTCAATCTCGTGACCAGCGGGTGCCTCCCCCATGGAACGTCGCTCCGCGCGCCAGTGATACACTGACGCGTGGAGCTCCGCTACCAAGTCCCACGGAGGAGACCCCGCCAGCAGACCCGCCGCTTCCCCGGATATGGTGCGGTAGCCTCTAATGGCCCTGATGGCCATGGCCCTGTGTGGCCTGTTGAGACAGGCCACATTTTCCCTGCCTAGGGCCCCCACCCAGATGGGGGCCCCGTACAGGGCCATGGACCGCACCACGCCGAGGTATAGGCGGCGGGAACCTTCTCCCGGGCCCCTCACGTTTGGCAGCAGCCAGCTAAGAGCGCCGGCGGCTGCCATAAGGCGAGGGACCAGGTTCCGGAAATGAGCGCGGAAGCTCCAACGGCTGTCCAGGTCAAGCCCCAAATACCTAATACAGGGCTTGACCCCCACCCTCTGGCCACTGACGACCAGCTGGGCATCCGGAGGTGGCGCACGCCGAGGCCCATGAAAACACAGGACCTCGGTCTTCTCCAGCGCCACCTGGAGCCCAAGCCTTCTAATTCGGCCGACGACCAGCGCCACGCTTGCCGTGGCAAAGCGGGTAGCCTCCCGTAGGTCCCGCCCCCGGGCAGTGACCAAGGTGTCATCCGCGTAACACACGAGGTCAGTGCCCGTTATAAGGGCGCCCCGCAGGTTCCAATCATACCCGATGTTCCACAGGATCGGGCCCAGAACCGACCCCTGTGGAACACCGCGTTGCATGTCCCTCGGCACTACAACGCCGTTCTGCCCCGTGCATAGCACAGACCTGTCTTCGAGATAGGCCCCGATCACGTCCCGAATGTAGGGAGGCGCGCGATGGTATTTCAGCGCCTCCCTAATAGTCGCAAAGGGCAGGGTGTTGAAGGCGTTCTTTATATCCAACGAGACCGCCAACAACACCCCACCCTGGGACGTCGCCTCTTCCGAGAGGGAGCGCACACGCGAGATCGCGTCAATCGTTGAGCGCCCCTCTCGGAACCCGAACTGCTTCGGGCTGAGATCGGGACCTACCTGAGACAGGTGTTGGACGAGTCGGCCCGCCAAGATTCGCTCGAAGAGCTTGCCGATCTCGTCCAACAGCACTATGGGGCGGAACGCCGAGGGAACCACCGAACCTGCAGGGTGCTCCGCTTTGCGGAGCAGGACCACTCTACCCGCTTTCCACTGATTGGGAAACCGTCCCGACTCCAAACACGCGTTGAACAAGCGCCGGAGTCGGTCCCCTAGGGTGTTTAGGGCCAAGGCCAGGACGCGGCCGTGGATACCATCCGGACCCGGGGCGACATTCTTGCCCCGGAGTTTATCCACGGCCGCGGCGAACTCCTCCACGGTGATGGCAGGAACCGCAGCAGCGCTGACGCCGCTGGCCTCTCCATCACTGCCACGCGGCATCATCGGAGGAGGTGTGAAGGGAGGCTGTCTCGGGAACAGCTCCTCCAACACCTCCTCCAACTGCTGCGGCTGGAGACCCTCTGCCACGGGGGGCGCCCAGGGGCGTAATTTGCCCCTGACGAACCTATAAGGACGCCCCCATGGATCCCTGTCCAGGGTCTCCAGGAGTTCTTCCCTGGCTGTCTCCTTGGCCCTGCTGATGGACAGCTGCAGAGCTTTCTTCCTCTCTTTGTACTGCTCGTACAGCTGTGCTTCCTCGTCGGCGTCGCGGCCCCGCCTGAGTCGGCGGTGCCTGGTGTACCGGCGGCGGGCGGCGGAGCACTCCTCTCTCAACGCCGCTATCTCCTCCGACCACCAGTACACCTGACGCCTAGGAGGTCGAGGGCCGGCTCGGGGCATCGCCGCGTCGCAAATGTGCGACAGAGCCTCACCGAACCAACCCACCTCTGCGTCGACCTCCACAGGCCCCTCCGGTATGGGAACCCAGGCCTGGACGATGGAAGCCTCCATCAGCACGTCTTTATTCAGAAGTTTCAACACCCATCTGGGGAGTTGTGGGACATTCCTCTCCTGGCGACCGGGGTGCGGAGCTACGGGTGAGGGGAGAACGTCTATCCGAATGTAACGATGATCGGATAGCGTCTCCACCTCATCCAACACCTGCCAGCTCCGCACCCTCTGTGCGATCGCTGGACTGCAGAGGGATACGTCGACATGCGACTCCCCCTGCTGTCTCACGCACGTGGCGGCCGACCCTCGGTTTAACACCACCAGGCCGGCCGCGGCCGCCCAGTCTTCCAGGACCCTGCCTCGAGAGTCGGTGATGGGGGAGCCCCATGCCGTGGATTTGGCATTGAAGTCCCCCATCACCATCATTGGACGGGCCGAGTATAGCTCAAGAGCGGCCCCCAGCCCGTCCATGAACTGCTCGAACTCGGCGAGAGTCCTGTTCGGAGAGAAGTATGTCCCGACAACGACGGTTTCCCCCAACTCACACCTATGTACCCCGCTCCGCCGAATAGGCGGCTGACGAGCGGGGTTGCGGAATTGCCCGCACCGACAATGGCCACCAGGCCAGAGGGGTCGCCGAACCAATGGTCACTACGTGGGACACGATATGGTTCGGCGACCACTGCAAGGTCAACTCCCCACTGCGCCGTGCTCTGCAGAAGCAGATCTTGGGCGCGAGCGCAGTGGTTGAGATTCCCCTGCAGGAGGCGATGGACTGCCATTATTGACCGGTGTCCATCACCTCAGCCTCTCCCCGGCGGCCATTGCCGCGGGCCGACGACAGTGCGGATCCCCTCAGTCTTTTGGACCGGGACTGGGGGCATTTTTTGGCCCCCACCCGGTGGTCGGCTGGGCGACCCGCCGCTGCGCAAACCACGCAGTGTGGGGTCGCCGAACATCCGGCCGCTTTATGGCCGGGAACCCCACACCGGTAGCATAAGCCACTCCGGTCCTCCTCGTGCGAGCACCTCGCCACCACGTGCCCGCTCTCCAGGCACCTGAAGCACCGGAGCGGCTTCTGCCGCAGCAGTTCCGCAGCGGCTGATACCCAGCCGATACGAATCCGCCCTGCCGTCGTCACTTTCTTAACCGCGGCTAATGGGGCCCGCACCCAGCAGGTGCCCAGGCCCGACGCGCCGCGCCGAATTTCTCCGACATTGACGGCGTCCGCCGTGCACTCGCCATGTTGTGCCACGGCGGCCGCCACCTCTTCCCGGTCGGTACTGTCGTCCAGGCCCATCAGCCTCATCTCGGCCGTTTTGGTGGGCCTGGCGACGCGAACCGTACCGTCCGGGAAGACGTCCCGAAACTTGGACGCGAGCGCGTCAGCCTGGTCTCCCGTCTGGGACCCCGGGATCTCTAAGATCCGGGCCCCAGTAGCCGCGGTCTTGAAGCGCAGACTTCCAATACCCAAGGAGGCAAGGTCGATCTTCTCCTTCGCCTCCTTGAGGACCTTCGAGTAGGTCATACCCGCAGCCTCCGCCTCCGGGCAGAGCGACACGACTACGGCCGCCGAGCGCGGTGCGCGCAGTTTGGATGGCGACGGCGGGGCCGGTTTGCCCTTCTTCCCCTGAGAGGGAGCCCCAGAGCTCCTCTGAGTACTTTGGGTACTCTGGGTCTGCCTCTCAGGGACGCTGCGGTTTTTGCCGCCCCGTCTCACCACTGTATTCCAGCCATCCTGCGCGCGCCCTGCGCCCGACGGCCCCGGCTGTTGGCTGCCGGATGTTTGCCGGCTAGCGGGTTGACCACCCAAAGGTGGGAAGTCTGCTTGTGCCCCACGCAGATGGGGGGCATCCCTAAACCCCGGACCCCCCGCGCCAGGGATGCGGGCCAAAACCTCGTACCGCCCATCGCTTTGTAGCGGCGGGCGGTATTCAGGGCGGATTGTTGACGCCGGGGAGCTGATGCCCAGGGCAGCCTTGATTTCACGGATGCCCTTCTCAATTTGGGCACCGATACGGGCATCAATTAGCTCCCCGGTCGCCCTCATGATATCCGCCCTGAAGGCCCCGACTTCGTCCGGCTCGGGGGTCGGGCCAGGTGCCCTTACCCTCGGAGACCCCTGCGGCGCGCGGGAAGCAGCCAGAGGAGGTTGCGACCCCGAGTTCGCCGCGAGTTGCCGCATTTGGGCTTGGAGGGCCTGGAGCTGGCTTCGGAGCTCCTTGTTCTCCTTACGGAGCTCCTCCACCTGCGCCTCCAACATTCGCCGTTTGACGGCGCCCGCGGTGAACTCGCTGTTGATGGCGGCACTCCCGTCCAGTTCCTCCGCCATCAACATCACGGAGCTGATGCTCTCCTTCAGCTGCCTCTGGTCGGTCCCCTTTAAGTTTCCGCACCTGTGCACCGTGTCCAGGGCAGCCCCGAGCTTTCTCTGGGCCTCCGCCCTGAAGACGGCCACAGGCTGCGAGTCGTCCTTTTGGGGGACCTTCCCCTTTGCCGCAGGAACCTCCGAGGGTCGGACGAACACCCCGTCGTCCCTCCGTTTTTCCTGTCGCCGGGACTTCGGCGACGTTGCCGGACTCTCTGTGGCCCGGCCCACGGGCACCACCAGGACTACCCCGTTCCCGGACGACGGGCAGGGGATTTTGGACGGCTTGCCCGCCGCCCCGGAAGGGCCCGGTCCATCCACGTGCGGCCGCTTCGGAACGGCCGCTTTCGTCAGCCCGTCCTCGCTCGACACAAGGCAGCCGGACAAATCGTCCTCCACCAGCATCGAGCGCGTCGAGCGCGTGGAGCGCGTCGACGACGCCGAAGAGGGACGAGATGTCCGCGACCTTGCTCGCGAGACGGGCCGCGACCTCGCCGCCGACCGCACCGTGTCGGCGTCCGCCAATGTGACGGAGTCCGTCATGGACCAAAAGTCCAGGTCCCGGGGTAGGGACAAGTACTCCTCGTCCCCCCCGGCGGGGGACGGGAAAAGAAGGGGGCTGGTAGTACCAGCCAACTCCCTTAAGTCGTCGGCAGCAGTAACACGCCCAACCTAAGTCGGGCGGGTAATACGGAGGCTAGCGCCTCCACAGGCTGCTCCAGGGCTTCCCCTGGACCAGGCACAGCAAACAGGAGTTGCCCCCTGTCGCTCCCGGTGAGTCCACCAAAATCCACCTCAGCGCAACAACAAAACAAACAAAAACAACAAAACAAAGGAAACTTAACCTAACTAACCTAACCTAAGTATATGTACAAAACCTAACCTATTTAATTAAAAGAAAAAAGAAAGAATAAAAGAATCAACAAAAACAAACAGACACACTACTTTTTTAACGTGTGGAAAAATCTTCAAAAGACCGTCACCCCGCCGGAGGGATGGCGAGGTGGTGTGTGGGACTTGTACCCACTAAAAAACCACACGGTGTACCTACGAGCGCCTATGCCGGAGCCAGGGGATCGCAAGTGCATTCTACCCCAGCTCCGACGGCGACGGCCCGCCCTGTAGATGTTGTAGGGCAGGCCCCATCTCGTTTTGTGGTTAGGGCGACCTATTTCGCCCTACTCCATTGTGGAGGCGTGTGGGTACACGCGCACACCTCCGGGGCCTTTGGATTGGGGGGACTGCCTCCCTCAAGGCAGTCACCCCGGCCCCAGTGGGGGATAGAGGGGGACGGAGTTGGATACGCTCCCACCTCTAGGCCTGGCTCTTCTGCGGCGGAGGGAAGCGGGACGAGCTGACTCCCGCTCCCTTTCCGCCGCCTCCTTCCGCGAGATAACTTCCTCGCAGAAGGAGCTCACCGCCAGCCACGATCTCTCGCTACTGACCATCCTCCGAACTAAATTCGGCAGCGAGAGATCGTCCCCCACTATTCGTGTGAGGACACGGCGCTCACTCTCAAACGCTGGACATATTTCCAGCGTGTGTTGCGCCGTGTCCTCAACACCTCCGCACTCGTGGCAGCCGGTCGTCGGCTCCTTCCTCGCCACATGACACAGATACCGCCCGAAGCATCCGTGCCCGGACAGTATCTGCGTCATGCGGTACGTCAGTGGCCATCTCCTATTCATCCACCGTTTGAGGATGGGACGGACAGCCTCGACGGTCCTCAGGCCGGCCGATGGACTGGCCAGCCTTTCTCTCCACCTGATCCTGAGGATCCGCCGAAAGTCGGACCTCCGCGCTTCGATCTCGTGACCAGCGAGTGCCTCCCCCATGGAACGTCGCTCCGCGCGCCAGTGGTACACTGACGCGTGGAGCTCCGCTACCAAGTCCCACGGAGGAGACCCCGCCAGCAGACCCGCCGCTTCTCCGGATATGGTGCGGTAGCCTCTAATGGCCCTGATGGCCATGGCCCTGTGTGGCCTGTTAAGACAGGCCACATTTTCCCTACCTAGGGCCCCCACCCAGATGGGGGCCCCGTACAGGGCCATGGACCGCACCACGCCGAGGTATAGGCGGCGGGAACCTTCTCCCGGGCCCCTCACGTTTGGCAGCAGCCAGCTAAGAGCGCCGGCGGCTGCCATAAGGCGAGGGACCAGGTTCCGGAAATGAGCGCGGAAGCTCCAACGACTGTCCAGGTCAAGCCCCAAATACCTAATACAGGGCTTGACCCCCACCCTCTGGCCACTGACGACCAGCTGGGCATCCGGAGGTGGCGCGCGCCGAGGTCCATGAAAACATAGGACCTCGGTCTTCTCCAGCGCCACCTGGAGCCCAAGCCTCCTTATTCGGCCGACGACCAGCGCCACGCTTGCCGTGGCAAAGCGGGTAGCCTCCCGTAGGTCCCGCCCCCGGGCAGTGACCAAGGTGTCATCCGCGTAACACACGAGGTCAGTGCCCGTTAAAAGGGCGCCCCGCAGGTTCCAATCATACCCGATGTTCCACAGGATCGGGCCCAGAACCGACCCCTGTGGAACACCGCGTTCCATTTCCCTCGGCACTACAACGCCGTTCCGCCCCGTGCATAGCACAGACCTGTCTTCGAGATAGGCCCCGATCACGTCCCGAATGTAGGGAGGCGCGCGATGGTACTTCAGCGCCTCCCTAATAGTCGCAAAGGGCAGGGTGTTGAAGGCGTTCTTAATGTCTAGAGAGACCGCCAACAACACCCCACCCTGGGACGTCGCCTCTTCCGAGAGGGAGCGCACACGCGAGATCGCGTCAATCGTTGAGCGCCCCTCTCGGAACCCGAACTGCTTCGGGCTGAGATCGGGACCTACCTGAGACAGGTGTTGGACGAGTCGGCCCGCCAAGATTCTCTCGAAGAGCTTGCCGATCTCGTCCAACAGCACTATGGGGCGGAACGCCGAGGGAACCACCGAACCTGCGGGGTGCTCCGCTTTGCGGAGCAGGACCACTCTACCCGCTTTCCACTGATTGGGAAACCGTCCCGACTCCAGACACGCGTTGAACAAGCGCCGGAGTCGGTCCCCTAGGGTGTTTAGGGCCAAGGCCAGGACGCGGCCGTGGATGCCATCCGGACCCGGGGCGACGTTCTTGCCCCGGAGTTTATCCACGGCCGCGGCGAACTCCTCCTCGGTGATGGCAGGAACCGCAGCAGCGCTGACGCCGCTGGCCTCTCCATCACTGCCACGCGGCATCATCGGAGGAGGTGTGAAGGGAGGCTGTCTCGGGAACAGCTCCTCCAACACCTCCTCCAGCTGCTGCGGCTGGAGACCCTCTGCCACGGGGGGCGCCCAGGGGCGTAATTTGCCCCTGACGAACCTATAAGGTCGCCCCCATGGATCCCTGTCCAGGGTCTCCAGGAGTTCTTCCCTGGCTGTCTCCTTGGCCCTGCTGATGGACAGCTGCAGAGCTTTCTTCTTCTCTTTGTACTGCTCGTACAGCTGTGCTTCCTCGTCGGCGTCGCGGCCCCGCCTGAGTCGGCGGTGCCTGGTGTACCGGCGGCGGGCGGCGGAGCACTCCTCTCTCAACGCCGCTATCTCCTCCGACCACCAGTACACCTGACACCTAGGAGGTCGAGGGCCGGCTCGGGGCATCGCCGCGTCGCAAATGTGCGACAGAGCCTCGCCGAACCAGCCCACCTCTGCGTCGACCTCCACAGGCCCCTCCGGTATGGGAACCCAGGCCTGGACGATGGAAGCCTCCATCAGCACGTCTTTATCTAGACGTTTCAACACCCATCTGGGGAGTTGTGGGACATTCCTCTCCTGGCGACCGGGGTGCGGAGCTACGGGTGAGGGGAGAACGTCTATCCGAATATAACGATGATCGGATAGCGTCTCCACCTCATCCAACACCTGCCAGCTCCGCACCCTCTGTGCGATCGCTGGACTGCAGAGGGATACAAACAGACACACTACTATACTATCGTAACCTAACTAACCTAACTAACTAACTAACCTAACCTAACTATATATGTACAAAACCTAACTAACCTAACAATTAAAGGAAAAGAAAGAAAAGAAAGAAAGAAAGATAAATATTGCGCTAGCGCCAAAAAGAAAACACCTCAAGACAATAACAATCCCTCCGCAATACAAAACCTAACTTCCAAAAAATGTGTCAAAATGTGGAACGCTTCACCAAAAATACCAGGCTTAGTGTGGACGTCCAGTCAACATCCGATCATCGATTCCTGCACCAAGACGCCATAGCAGAAAGCCAGGTACGCTCGTAACTCCTTACTTTGCCCGTGATCTGTGACGACAGTCTTGTCGAAGGAAAATATCTCTCGGGATACATATCCCTAGGGAACCGCTTTAACATTTTTTGGCCCGTTACGAACCAGATATTTTGCTATTTTTTAAATTGAGTTACATTTAATAACGTACCTCTTTTGCTATTTATTCGCAAGGTCCTTCGTTTAATATTATTATTAAGAAACCGCTTTCAAAATTGATAATATAAAATCCGCTTATTTAGTCTTATATTACTTATTTGTTTCTCAGACATACCCGCGCAGCCATATAGGATTGCCTTGTTATTTCTTTATATTATACCGCAACCAAGCACCTATATGTGTAATAGTTTATTATTTATAAACATTTATTATATACCGCTATAGAGTACCATATAATATCCCGCATACCTCTATATTATCTCTTTAGATAATAAATATTCATATCACCGCATTTATAGTAGTCTTAAAATTGTATCCTATTTGTATATTATACATAATATACTTGTACATCCCGCACACCATTATATAACACGTTGACGGACAGTAGGAACAAGCGAAGTTCGAAAATTGACACTATATGTTTTTGTGATTTTTAGAATGTTAGAAGTATAGTTTTACTCTTTCTGCTTAAATAAACTTAATTTTGATTAATTTAGTACCTTTAATTAGGTTGCGGCTATAACCGTCATGGCGCCAGCGGACTCTATACACTAAGTGATAGGACGATGGCGGCTATAACAGCAAAAATTTAAAAACGTAAATGACAGGTTTAATGGTTCAAACAAGCAATTTTTGTATGCAACAAAGTATTTTTGGGAGTTTTACACGAAATGTTAGTTCTTAATCAAACAAAAATAAATAAATGACAAAAAAAATTATTATAATTTTATAATTATTATACATTATTTTCGGTATGCCATGTTTCAAAGCATGGTGCAGGACACAGTGCAGGTTTTGACATGCAATTCTTGCAGCAATATGATGTTTCCCTCCTTATTCCCTGTTTATAACATTGTTTACAACGCTGAAAATATGTTTTTCGCTGATAATTTTCAGGAGGTGAAATTTTCTCAGGAAAATGCTGTGTTCCATTGTTGATTTCATTGGTTTGGATTTGTGCACGTTTAAATTGAACCAAAGTTCTTCCATCCCGTTTATTATCTATACCAGTTAGAGATCGTATGATTGCTTCCCTGTACTCTATATACTTCATTTGAGAACCTGTCTTTTCTTTAAAGATGTAGAAAGAATTCCATACTGCTACATCCAGTAGATGAAAGATTACCTTTTTATACCATCTAATTGTCTTCCGTGGACAGGAATAATAGGACATCATCTGATCTGCTCTGTCTACACCTAACATATTCTGATTATAATTCACTATTTCAATTGGTTTTCTCTTTTCCTGTTGTCGCCGGTTAGCTGTGTTTATCATGCTTGGGTGGTAAGCTGTTGTTAGACATAGCACATCCCGTTTATCTTTCCATTTGGACACATAAGTCTGATTTTGGCGTCGCCATACATGTTCTCCTTTTCTAAGCTTACGACGTGTTATTTCTTGTGGCAGACCCTTCCTATTTACACGAAGAGTTCCTGTCACATGTGTCTTTTTGCTAAGTAATTTGTTAGACAATGGTAGACTGTTGTAATAATTATCCATGAACAAATGATGGCCTTTGTTTAAGTATGACTGCATCAATCGCATCACAAGACTTTCAATAGTTGTCATGTTTTCATCGTTTTCTCGATGGCCTTTGTATACTTCTATATTCAAAACGTAACCTTGGGCTGAACAAAGTTCATAGAATTTAATTCCGTATTTTGCCTTTTTGCCTTTCATGTACGTGTGAAAATAAAGCCTTCCTCGAAATAATAACAACGATTCATCTAATGATAATGCTTCATTTGGTGCATATGCATTCGCAAACTTTTGTATGAGCAAATCAAGAAATATTTTTATTTTCCTCAAAGGGTCGTTTGAATTTTCTTCCTCAACACAAAAACACCTCAATATTTGCTCAAACCTCCTTCCAGACATTTGTGACGGAAATGCTGGGTGGTAATGTAATGCATCAATGGAAAAGAGTTTTCTAATGCTGGAGAATTTTAGCTGGGACTGAAGCAAACACAAACCTAAAAACTTTCTCATTTCGATCATATCAGTATTTTTGAAATTTGCCTTTCTACTATGCCTTGTATGTGGCCGTGCTTGATTGCAAAGTTTTATGCCGTAATCATTCGTAGATTTTATAATCATTTCCATTACTTGGTCATCCCATATTTTTTCAAAAACCTGAATTGGAGAAACATTTTCTTCTATATCCAAAAGAATCCCAGCGGCATCTGCATCAAAAGAAAAGTTTCTTATAGATGTTGTATTGGTATGCCATGTCTCATCATTTTCTGGTTCTTCTGGTGCTTCATATTCCTCATCTGTAGTTGATTCATCATCTTCACTATCCGAATTGTTATTTTCAGCACTGTCAGCATCAGATTCAGACTCACTGTTGCTTGATCCACTATTCATTTCCTCAACAATCTTCAGCAGCCTAGCCTGATCTTTTTCCCAACTGTCCATTTTCTGTAAATATTGAATAAAACATTTTATTTTGTATTATTATTTATTGTATATTATATATTTATCATTTACATTATCATTATTTATTTATATTTCAAATGTAAAACCAAAAAAAAAAAGTAAACAGTATAACCTATAGTATCGTTAACCTAACCTAAAATGCTAAATTTTGTTTTTTTATTTCTGTTTAAAGTATAAAATGAATAATAAACAAATACATACCAGTATAGTTATATAAATAATAATAAATATCGTTAAACGTATCAATAAGAACTATAAATTCAATAGAAAACACGATCGCACTACTCCCTTCACAACCACGTGCATAATGAATCTGCAACTCGTATAACAGGTGAAATATGAACTTCAACCTAAAAAGATGTTTTCAAAACACGACACTATGCTTCTACGTATACGCCAGTAAGTGCACATTTGTGCTGCTATAGCCGTAGTGTCTAAAAACGACCGTTTCGTTTTGGACGGCTATAGCAGTCATGCCACATTGTGAACTTCGCTTTGACGGCTATAGCCGCAATTGTCCGTCAACGTGATAATATACAAATATAAATGTCTATATCCCGCATTCCATTATATTTTATATAGTAATCTACGCAACACTTAACCGTGTTCTCGCTACATACCTACATATAATTTTTATTTTCGTTACTGTCCGCTTACGCTGTCTATTGACAGGTCACTGTATAATTACCTATAGTTATATTGCGTTAAATCATTAGATATGTCACGTAAAGATAAAGATGCGCCTACCCTTTCACCTAGTCGTCAACTTATTATGTTAGAAGCTAAACGTAATGCTTTATTTCAACAAATACAAAGTATTTACGATAAGTCGAAGTTGGCTACGGAATCGGAAGAAAAAAGACGTATGTTTCTTAGTTCATGTATAACCATCGATGACGTTCGTAATAAGTTTCAAGATGTACTCGATGACTATAATAGTAGGATGCTTGATGAGAATCCTTCTGCCGTACCTAATTTTCATGTATATGACTCATTTGAAGATTTGTTTTGTTCAATTAGACAGACATTTTCTGATCTTTCTTCTGCGCCCACGGGCGGGAATTCGTGTGGGATAGATGCACCTGTATCTAGGCCCAGGCTCCCCCCCCTGGAATTAGTCTCCTTCAGCGGCAATTATCAAGATTGGAATTTATTTTACGCTAGTTACAAATCTACTGTCCATGACAACTCCTCACTTACAAACTCAGAAAAACTGTATTATTTACTGGGTAAGTTATCACCCAAAGTACAATCGGTATTTGCAGGTATTACACCCTGCGCCGAAAACTATGAAATTATATTTAAGTCTCTGCTTGATAAGTATCAAGATATTCACGTTCTCGGTTCTAATTACTTAGACCAGATTTTAAATCTTAAATTAGGCAAAATGCCTTCCGCCGCAAGTTTTCAATTATTTATAGATAAGTATGTCACCGCCGCTATGTCGTTAAAAGGCTTAGGTATAAAACAATTATCTGATTTAATGCAATCCTTCAATATATGACCTGATTTCTTACAATAATTACATGTTATACCAGTAGACAGAAATGCAGTTCCATAGCTCCTCTCCTTATTTGTTTTTTCTTATTCTGTAACTTCACACTCAAATTTACTAGACAAAAATTTTCTTCTTTCGAATTCATTGTTTAATTTAATCCGTAAATTCTTTAAGGAGGTATCACTGCAGCATTCAAATGCTGTAATGAATGATTCATATGATTTCGGAAGGCTACTTAATACTTTAGATACAGCCATCTCGTCGGACACGTGTTCATCAGCTTCTTCCAACTTGCTTAAAATTGTATCTATTTCTTTCATAAAGCCCATGACATTCTTTGAATTTGAACACCGTAACGAATAAAACTTATTTTGTAAGTAAAGTTTATTGACTTTTATATCAACTCCATATAATATTTCAAGTTTAACATATCATCGGAAGTTTTACATGTTGTGAGCCTTCTCAGAACGTTCTCTGATGTAGTAAAGGCTATATATTTCTTCTTTGAAGATTTATCCTGACCGACACCGCTATATTGTATTGGAATTTCCATACCTCATAATTATCTCGTCCGGTTAACGTTATTTTTCTATCAAACTTATTCATTTTTAATATTATGTCTCATAATCTGTTATTTAACTTGAATAAAACTTTAAGAGCACATACGAATACTTTTAACTGTAACACACGAAAACGTACAAAATTATTTTTTAAGACCAAAACTGCACAGAGTAGTGCATAACAAAAAAAAAACAGAAAATAAGATAAAGCTATCTGCCACCATAGAATCATGCGTACAGATACCATAGATTAAAAATGAATGACACAATATTTAATAAACAATATACAACAAAATGTTTATAATTCTCCGATAGTTACTATGATGAAGTCATAAATTGGTTTAAATGTAGTACATTTGAATAGTTCTTGAAGCTTAGCAATGAGCAAAATTCTGTTTAAATTGAGGGCCGGGTAATCAAAAAATATATGTTCTAAAGCATGATTTTCGTTATTGGAGCATAAAAGACAAATCGGATTATTAAATATCTTCATTCAGTGTAAATGAGCATTGAATTTGCAATGTCCAAATCGCACTCGACAAATTTGAGTTTTATACTCATATCTTCTCTCTAAAAATATTTTTCCCTGAGTAAACCAGGTTTTTTTGCCAATTGTACTGTTTATCCCTGTATACCAAGTACCTTTATCTTTGGTAGTACGTTTCCAATCTTCTTCCCAATTTTTTTTATAAGTCTTTTCTAATTTCAGGAATTAAATCTTGCTAAGGTAACAAATTTGTTTTATACTGACCACCATAATATATTAGTAATGGCAGATATACGAAATCCATAACCAGTTTTTATATTGCTATGATAAGAACCTAATATTCTTTATTTACCGAAGAACCATTTGGAACGAATTCCGAGTAGACAACACGATAATCAAAGAAAACGAGCAGCATGACTTTCGCTTTTGACTGACTTTGACGTGGCTTTTTTGGTTTCGGCTCATGTGGATAGCGCCATTCAGCCGCCTGTTGACTGGTTTGCATGTCAAACTCATATACACACGTTTCATCACCTGTTATAATGCGCTGGATAAACGATGGGTCCGAATTAACTTGCTCAAGCATTTCTTCAGCCACCTTCTTCCGAAGATTTTTTTGAAGAAAGTTCAACTCTCTTGGTACTAGTCGAGCAGCCAACCGTCTCATGCCTAATTGATGGTGTAAAATGTTGCGAATTGATTCGTGAGACACGCTAAGGTCATGAGCTACCTCTCTCAAACTTAAATGACGGTTTTCCAGCACCATTTCCTTGACTTTATTGACGTTTTCATCCGTTGAAGATGTTGATGGACGACCAGATCAGGGCAAATCTTCCACGACTTCTCGACCCTCTAAAAACGCTATACCACTCATAGACTCGTGTTTTTGATAAAGCACATTCGCTATAGGCTTTTTGGTTATTAGACAAATTCTTTGTTCGATATTTTTATCCATAGTAAAAATAGCAGAGTACATATGAGGTTAACTGATGTAATTGAATGCCAAAAACAAAGTAATTGAAAGTTGGCGCCCAAACTCTGCGTCACTATGAAGGACAGTTGTGCCAACATTCCAGCAAAAAAAGATATGACCAATGTGTGGCGCGGTCTTTTTAAATGAACAATTCCCGGTACTTTTTTGACAGAATGTATATTGTGTTAAATGTAGGCCATGAGAAAGATGTTCATATACTTCTTCTTTACATTTTTGGTTCTTATCAGTTTCTACTCTCATATTGCAAAATTTACTATCATATGTCCTTTCATAACATGCCCATTTATTAGTTGTCACATGAATGTTATATTGCTCAACTCAAGATTTCATTGTAGAGAAGTCAAGGAGAATGTATGGGAATTTTATGGAATTAGAAGATGCTATGGTTTGAGAATCAAATTTTTTTTATAATAGCGAGTTATGGAAAATGCGATGTAGTTTTAGCAAGAATGTAAATTTAAGAAATTTGAATCTTAACGAAGAGATGGAATGTTGCATTCTACTTGAAGAGAGACTATTGGAGTTGTTTTCATTGCACCAGTAATTAGACGCAAATTATTATATTGAATTGTTTCTATGTATATTATTTTTTTAAGAGCATGGGGTTGGAAGCAAATCTAAGGTAACTACAAAAAAAGTGAGAACGAAGTATGGATTTGTATAACATAAGTAAAATCTTTAGATCAGCCCCAAAATGTTTTGGAAAGGCATTTTAAAATATTAAAAGCTCTAAAGGCTTTATCACATAAATATAGATATGCTTATTCCAAGATAGATTTTTTGTTAATGTTACATCAAGAAACTTGACTTCATCTACTACTAGCAATATGCTACCATTATAATTAAAACGGTAAAATATTTATAGGTCTGAGATCCTTTAAATCATTTGGTTGGGTAACCTTGGATATGGGTGTAATTAGTGCTATCTTCCATTGATTGGGAACTATGCCTTTTAAAATTGATTCATTAACTATGGCAGTAATAATAGGTAGGGTATGTGGGAGAGTAAACAAAATCATGTCTCGAGTTATACCATCACTGCCTATACAATTAGACTTAACTGTGTTTATGTACCTAACCACGTCGTTTTCACTTACAGGGCGCAAAAAAAATGAATTTGACGTGTACCTAAAATTTTCAAAATATGACAAATTAGATATGGGAACAGAATCAGGACCAGGCACATCTAAAAAGTGGTTATTAATTAAATTAGGGTCCTTAAACTTATTTGATAGGCATTCATTTTTATCTGAATCAGTAATAATTTTCTCTTTTATATTTTTCCAAAATTTTTTACCACTATTAACATTCAAATTAACAAAATGATTGTAATAGGCTCGTTTCTCACTTTCGATACTTTTTGAGACTAATTTCTTCAGTTCTTTGTAATAATTCTTATGCGTTTCAGATCCTGATTTGCGATATTTATTATGAGCTTTATTACGCAGTTGAATCATTAATTTAATCACATCAGTAATCCATGGTAGTGGTGTAGCGTGTTTAAATTTCGTTGTAACCAATGGCGCATGTTGATCAAATAGAGACAACAATAAGAAGTTGAATTTATCTACCATGGAATTAACTGATGACATTTTTGATACTGATTCCCAATTCAGTACTATAAGATCCCTGTTAAATTGATCAATATTTATTTTGTTCATAGGTCTATATGTAACAAAACTTGGCAGTACTTTCGTTTTCTTTAAATTTAAACTAATATTTACCATTGAATGACCCAGGGATCCGGTAATATTGTCCACAGTTACGTCACGAATTTTACAATTAGTACACACAAGATCGATAAGTGTTTCAGAACTCACCGAAGTGTGCGTAGGGTCTTTTACTACCTGTTCCAAATTAAGATACCTCAGAAATTGATCAATTTTCACGAAGCCAATACTAGATTTATCCAGCATATTTACATTGAAATCTCCCAGCAAAACCATGTACTTGAAGTTAGAAAAGTGGGAAACAGATTCAGTTAACGCATCAATGAATGTATCTATTTTCAGCCACTGTGGTCTGTATGCTGTTCCTATGATTATGCGATGACCATTTACTCGTATCGATAGCCACATTTGTTCGATGTTATTTTCGGGATGGTTCAAGAAGCGTACTCGTATATCTCTTTTAAAGTAGAACGCAACACCACCACCTCTACCACCACAAATGTGTCTTGGGCGCGGTTTGTTGCGCAGTCGATAGCCGGGTGCTACTGGCGCACGTGCCTCTTGTCCTTCCGGCAACCACGTTTCATTTATAGCTATTATGTCAGGTTCAAATCGATTCATCGCTATCAGAAAATCATCGTGACCCGTGTTTAGAGATCCAGCATTATAAAGACCTAACTTAAGATATTTTGTTTTAGAATTGAAAGCTAATATAATATAATAAAAATACCAGGCTACATGAATTGATCCCAAGGCTAAATAAAATAATGAATAATATTAGAAAGTACACATTATATAAGTAAACATACATAATCCAAATGTACTGTAGATATAAGACAGTAAATAAATCTATTATGATTAGAGAATTAAAATGTACACTCGATTTGAATTGAAACCCTGGGGCACATAATACACATCTCAAACATTTATGCTCAGAACATATATACATAGAACCACCAAAAACAATTATGAAGCTAAATAAAATATTTAATCTATCAACAATTACTCTAAGAGGATTGGTACTTTTTGTTATAGAGTTTAGATGATAATAAAAATAGTAACTTGGTAATTTAGGTAATATAACATAGAAAAATTCATTAAGGGCAAAAATTAAATCAATGGATTTGATAATTAGACCAAATAAAAGAGTACAAAACTTACTGAAAAAGTACATATACAAAACAGTAAAACATACATATGATTTAGAGGATGTTGACATACAAACAAAATAATAAAGGTTTATCAAAAAGAAAGGTAAAAGAATAAATATTATTGCAAAAAATTCATTAGGTATATAAATTAAAACAATTACTATAATGCTTAGATGAAATAATTTAGAACAAAACTGAAAGAAAAAGTACATACAAAAATATAACTTTAAATATGGTTTATAATCAGTACCATACATAATTACTGGAAAAGAAGCTACATAGATGTTAATAATTATGCTGAGGGACAAACAACATCCTGACCAAAAATCCGTGCAATGTCATCTTCTGTCCTTATGCGAAACCGTGGAGCATCTTTATTTTGGAACTGGCGCACATATATCCTGCCGTCCCTTGTCCACACGTATCTCCAGTTCATCTGGTTGCCCAGATCGCGTGCTCGACGGAACAGCAGTCTATTGTTTTTGGTTAATCTCTCATTAACATAAAACCGCCGGGATGGTTCGGGTATATCCAAGCCCTCAGTAGTGGCACCCCTTCGTACACGCGCAGCTTGCAATAACCGATCTCGAACGATGCGCCGAGACAAACGCACCACTATGGGACGCGGCCTGTGCTCACCTACTTGAGAGGACGATGATACATATCCTACGCGTGTGGCACTTACTACATCTTGATCTGTCAATTGAACTCCCAATTTATTTGCTAGAGTAGTGACAATATGAGGAAGGCTCTCAACTTTCTGTTCCGGAATGCATGCAATCTCTACATCATTTAATAGCAACTCCTGATCTCGGTCGTTCAGTTCCAATCTCAACTCTGTCATAGACGCCTCAAGTGACTTGTTATTGCCCTCCGTTGCACCATTTTCTATACTATGTTCCATACCACTCAGACGCTCCTGGAGCTTATCCATACGCTCTTCACATTTAATGACTCTGCTCGATATTTTAGCCAAAGTTTCATTTAACACCGCCATCTGTGCTCTAGTAGCTCGCATCTCTTCTATCATCTCAGTTCTAAATAGCCGCATTTCTAAGGCCAATGACTGCATGTCTGACATTTCCACAGTTTCATTTTGAGCTGTATCATTATGAATATCCATAATAGATGGTTGCTCCGACATAGAAACATCAAAATGAAGCGGACTCCTCACAGCTCCTCCTCGTTGAGTTGTGACTGCTTGAAAAGCAGCACGAGCTGGTGTATTAGTGTTATCGCTCTTGGGCTTCTTACTTACACATAATACACATCTCCAATTTCTCCTATGTTCATCAACTAATGTATTATAAAAACGCTGTTCGGATACATTTGCACAGTCCAGATCATAAAACTGATTGCATCCCTCACACAATAAATATTTTCGGTCCTTAATTGCCCTCAAACAGCCGGCACACTGCATGTTGTATGATAATATTGCTCAAAATATATTACGTGATCATAAAAAAAAAAAAAAAAAATGTTGTGGTCAGGGTTTGATCGCACATCCGTCCACAAATAATTACTGAGAATAACCACTAGGCCAACGTTTCATAAAGTCAATTTTTGAAATTAACTACCATATAGCTGCGTAGAACCGGTTAACTGCCACTTTGTTCAATAGTTAATATGATTCACATCCAGTTTACAACTGACCTTTGTACCCATTGAAGACACTCAAACAGTTGCCGTCACTTCTTAGTTACACAATTAAATGTTATTTAAAATGTTTACCGGATTCAAACTGCACTACAAAATGAATATTTAATTGTAGGTTATAATGTCTCGATTAAAGGATCATTCTGATAACTTTAAATTAATAAATCAACGTTTTAAATAATTTTAAAGACAATAGAAACACTAGAACGGGCTAAACGCGTCCGTTGCCGCTGCCGCGTTCGCGTGCGTGAATATAACAACTTTAATTTTAGCTAAACTAAATTGTAAATATTTA